GACGTGCTGGCCCGGGGTGGTGGCCGTGCCAGGCGGACGGGGTTGCCCAGGGTGATGAGGTGGCCTGGGGTGGTGGCCGTGCCACCCAATGTACCGCAGCGATGAGGTGACCTGGGGCCGTGTCCCCACCGTGAGGATGCAGTGGCCGAGACCGGGGATGTCCCGTGACCCTCCAGGTGAGACGAGTGGCCTGATGCAACCAGGGTATGTCTGTCCCACCCCCCGTGTCCCCGTCGCGGCCACCCCGTCCCCACGCAGAGCCCCCTGCCCACCCGGGCCACCCCGTCCCCGCGCCGGCGGTGACTCACGCAGCCCGTGACCTCGCCGCGGCGTATTTTTAGGCGCTTGTTAAAAAGAAAGATAACGAGGAGCGGGGGGATGGGGGGGGGGCTATGATAACGATGGAGAACAGAACCAGGAAAGCAGCTGGTGACATGATGGTGACAGCTTTGAGGGGGGGGACACTGTGCTGGCAGTGCCCCTCTCCCCAAATACTCCCCCCCCACCCGTCTGGTTATGCCCCCAGGAATAATTGCCTCCTTAAAGGCAGCTAATTGATTTGTGCTCGCTGATTAAAGCCTCTGCGGGAGCCCGGGGACACGCGGGGGCGATCGATGGCTGCCGAACGTCCCCTTGGTCTCCTCCTCTTTTAGGGGGGTGGGGGTGCCTGTCCCCCGTGTGTCCCCCGGGGTTTGGGGACATTGCACAGGTGTGGCATTGGAAGAGGGGATGCACCCCCAATGTGGTTTTTTTTTGTGTGGGGGGGGTGATGACCCCATGGACCTCATAGGTGCCATTAGGGTTGATGCCACCTCGGTGTTGTCGCCCGGGGCCACAGCGGGCGGCACTGGGAGTGGCCCCCGGGCTGCTCTCCGCCCGTGTGTCCGTGTCCCCCCCGCCTTCCCTGCGTCCTTCGCTCACCCCCGGCGCTGGCGGCGCCTGTCACTTGCCATCGCGTCCCGCTGTCCCCACCGAGGCTGATGGAAATGGCAGGCGACGGAGCGGGCGCAGCAGCGTGTCCCCATGTCATGAGCCCGCCGGGGCTCAGCCCCCCGGGCTGCCCGGCCACCCCCGCGGTGGCACCCGCGGCTGCCCCGCTGTCACCGTGGCCTGTGCCACCAGCGGTGACACCCCAGCCCACGGACCCCGCGGGTGACCGCGATGGATGCTCTGGCCACGTGGGGGTCACCTGGGCTGTCCCAAAGTGTGGGGCTCCTCCAGAGCGCGGAGGGAGGGGAAACTGAGGCAAAGAGGTGGGACGGGCCCTGGCTGTGCCGTGGGGACCATCCCGCGTAGGTGTCCCCTAGCGGGGTTAGGGTTATGCTTAAGGTTAGGATTATGGTGAGGTGACGGGTCCCAGGGATGTCCCCAGCTCGCGGGATGTTCGGGGCTGGGGGTGGCATAGCGTGGGGACAGGGCGTGGCCCAGGGTGATGGAGGGGTCCCAAGCTCTTGGTGGGGGCGTCAGGGTGGCACCCGGGGTCCATCCACCCCCCTGCCTCAGTTTCCCTTCCCACGGATCATCGGTGGTCGCGGGTGGGCGTGGCAGGGGCGTGTCCAGGGCGTGGTTATCACCGACCACGGCGGCGTCTGAGGATGGATGGGCGTGCCCGTGGGCGTGCCCGTGGCCGGGTGGGCGTGTCCCGAGCGGGGTGGGCGTGTCCCGAGCGGCTCGGGGCGCACCGGAGCCAGCGGAGCTCACGGAGCCGCCGCCGCCGCCCCGAGCCCCCCCCGCCGCCGCCGCCCTGCTCCCCCCCGCCGGCACCATTCCCTCCCCCGGGCGCCAGCGCGCCCCGGCCGGGCGGCGGCTCAGCCTGGGCCGCAAAACTTTGCTGGCGGCCGCGGCGGGGGTGGTGATGGTGCTGGTGCTGGTGGTGCTCATCCCGGTGCTGGTGAGCTCCGCCGGGGCCGACGGCCGCTACGAGATGCTGGGCACCTGCCGGATGGTCTGCGAGCCCTACGGCCCCGCCGCCCCCCCGCAACCCGCCGAGCGCGGCCCCCTCCCGCCGCCCTCCACGCTGGTGCAAGGTCCGCAAGGAAAACCGGGCAGACCGGGCAAACCGGGACCGCCGGGACCGCCCGGAGAACCGGGGCCGCCGGGGCCGGTGGGGGCGCGGGGGGAAGCGGGAAGACCGGGACCGCCGGGATTGCCGGGGCCGGGGGCTACGGGCGCGGTGAGCGCGGCCACCTACAGCACCGTGCCCAGGGTCGCCTTCTACGCCGGGCTCAAGAACCCCCACGAAGGCTACGAGGTGCTCAAGTTCGACGACGTGGTCACCAACCTGGGCAACAGCTACGACGGCGCCTCGGGCAAGTTCACCTGCGCCATCCCCGGCACCTACTTCTTCACCTACCACGTCCTCATGCGCGGCGGCGACGGCACCAGCATGTGGGCAGACCTCTGCAAGAACGGGCAGGTAAGGGCTGCCCATCCCGGCTCCCCGCGCGGCCACGGGAGCGGTGCTGCCCCCGTAAGCACCGGAGAAGGGCTCTGGGTTCTTCCTCGGGGTGCCCCTTCCTTTTCCCGGCCCCAGCGATGCACCCTCTGGGTGCTCCATCCTCCTCCTGGCCCCAGGGATGCGCCTCCAAGGGTGCCACATCCTTCTCCCTTGTGCTGATGGTGGACTCTGGGTGCTTTCCCGGGGGGCCTCATTCTTTTCCCGACCCCAGGGATGCACCCAGTGGGTGCTCCATCCTTCTCCTGGCCCCAGGGACGAACCCTCAGGGTGCCACATCCTTCTCCCTTGTGCTGATGATGGGCTCTGTGCGCTTCCCAGGGGGCCTCATCCTTTTCCCAGCCCCGGGAATGCCTCCCCAGGGTGTCACATCCTCCTCCCAGTGGCAATGATGGGCTCTGGGTGCATCCCTGGGGGGGCCACAGCCTTCTCCCAGCCGCAGACATGCACCCCTGGGGTGCTTCATCCTTGCCCCAGGGGTGAAGGTGGGCTCTGGCTGCACCCTGGAATGCCCTGTCCTTTTCCAGGGATGTGCCCCTGGGGTGCTCAGTCCCTCTCCTGGTGGCTCTGGGTGCGTCTCCGGGGTGCCACATCCATCTCCTGCCCGTGGATACGTAACCCCTGGGGTGCCCTGTCCTTCTCCCGGGGACATGGAGGACTCTGGGTGCACCCTGTCCTACTCCCAGCCCTGGAGCTGCATCCTCAGCGTGCTCCATCCCTCTCCCAGCCCCGGAGATGCTCCCTCGGGATGTTCCATCCTTCTCCCAGTGACAGGCTCTGGGTGCCCCCCCCCCGGGGTGCCCTGTTCTGCTCTCTGCCCCAAAGGAGCACCCCTGGGGTGCCCCATCCTTCTCCCAGGGACAGGGATGTGCTCCGGGTAACCCAACCCCCTCCCATCCCCAAAAACGCTCCCCCGAGTGCCCCATCCCTTGTCCCAGCGCTGGGGACAGTCACCACCCGCCCTGACATGTCCCCAAGGGGTCCCCTCAGTCCTTTCCTTGGCCCTGGAGATGTGTCCTGCTGTGCCTTGGGGTGCCTCAGGACACCCCCCCAGCATCCCTGGGGTGCCCTGCCCACCCCCCCCCCCCGGCCGTGCCATTGTCCCCGCTGGGGTCCTGGGGAAGGGGACAGGGACAGTGTCTGCGGTGGCCTCGAGGGGGGCAGCGCCGGCCCCGCTTTTGGGGGGGCTGCACCCCCAGCCCAGAGCTGGTTCTGCAGTTGCTGTACCAGGGGAGATGTCCCCACCCCTGGCCGGGCTGTGTGGGGACACCGAGGGAGGACACACATCCTTCCTTCCCCCTCCCCTCTCCCGCATCCCCCCGACCCCATCCAGCTGAACCCCCCAATCCCGAGACTCAGCCTTGCTCCCCCCGCGGTTTTCAGGTGCTCTTTTCCCATGCCATGGTCCCCCCTTCCCCCCTCCCCCACCCCCCCGGCCACGACTCGAGGGACAAGACGTGGCAGTGACCCCCGAGCTGTCACCAGGGCTCCATTCCCTGGATGTCACCGCAGCCCGGCGTCCTCGCCGGGATCCATCCCGTCCCACCCCGCTCCCGCTTCCCATCGCCTCCCCCCGCATCACCCCCTGCGGTGCATCCTTGTCCCGAGCATCTGGGCCCCCGAATTAACCCAAAACTGAGTTTTCACCCCAAAAAGCACCCCGGGGGGTGGGGGCAGGCAGGCGCCTTGTCACAGCCACTGAGCTTCACCCCTCGGCTCCGAGCCCTTCCGAGCGGGAGCAGGAGCTGCTCAGCAGCTTTTCTCCATCCAAACAGCTCAAATTTCCTTCTATCGGGATTTTTTTTCTCTTCTCTCACCCTCCAGCCCCAAATTTTAGGGTGTCCCAGCGCCGCTTGGCACTGCTGGCTCTTCCTGCCAGGCAGCATCCGTGTAACTCAGGACTGAGCACCCCAAAAGCTCACCTCGACCCTTTTACCTCCCCCCAGAACATATTGGGGGGCCACCCCAAACCTCCGCAGCCCCCCAGCTCTGGGGGGTACCGATGTTCTCGGATAAATGTCCGGGAGCTGTGGAGCCCCTGGTCGAGAGGAGCTGCGCTCGGGCGGGTGATGCAGCTTAATTAACCGCTTGGTAATCACTGACAGGGCATCGCCGTGCCGATATCTGTGGCAAAGTTCCCCCAAAAAATGCCCCGAATAATTTAAAAAATGGGGTTAATTAGGGGTTTGTTGCCAAAACATCCCTGTCCCCGGCAGGCTGGGGGGAGCCTGGCGGATGAGCGTTGATCCAGCACCTTTGGGGGAATCAGGACTTGGGGGGCCCCCTCTGACCCCCAAATTTCCTCTGGATGCTGCCGGTTTGGGGGCAGCCCATCACCCTGGTGCCAGGGCTGGAGTTAATGAGAGCCAGGGGAGCTGCTGCTGGTGGTTAATTAGCATTAATTATTATTTGTATTAGCCCGTAGCTGAGGCGAAGGGGCAGCGGGAGGAAGGACGTGGATGGACTGACAGATGGATGGATAGGGGGGTGACACCGGGTGGCTTTGGGGTCCCCATGGTCCCCGTGATGGGGTGAGGGCCGCCCATGGCTCAGGGAGGGTCACAGCCCCGGGGGACCCCAGTGGGGACAGTCCCCAAGGGCACACAGGACAATCTGGGGGCAGCCACTGCCCTGCCTGGGGGGCCAGGGGGGCACCCACTGCTGCACCCAAGGGTCCTGAGGGGCACCCGCTGCCCTGCCCAGAGGGTCTGGAGGGGGAGCACCCACTGCTGCTCTCAGGGGTGCTGGGAGGGCACCCACCACTGTGTCTGGGGGTCCTGGAGGGCCCTCAGGACCGTGCCTGGGGACCCTGGGGAGCAGCTGCCACTGAACTTGGGGCCCTGGGGGGGCACCTGCTGCCACACCTTGGGGGTCCTGGGCCATGGTGGCCACGGCTCGTGGGGCACACGGCGTGCCCCAGGCCCCAAGTGTCACTGGGAGTGGCTCGGCCTAGACATGGGAGCGCCCCACTGCCCCCCCATCGCCCCCTGAAAACCCTTGGGTACAGCCCACCCCCTCGGGGACCACCCCAGAGTGTCCCCAGGGCCGGGGACACCCCCAGTGCTGTCACTGGGGTGAGGAGGAGCGGGCACAGCACAGTCGGGGCCGGGGCTGTGTCACCCCTGTGGCTCCCACCCCGTGGCACAGCCACGGGGAAACTGAGGCACGGAGCAGGACGAGGGGGGTGAGGCCATCGGGGGCGGGGGGATGGCAACCCCCCCTCCTGTGCCAACGCGGTGCCGGGAGCGGCTCAGCCCGGGCCCAGCGCTGCCATTTATCTTGCCTGGTTAGGGAAGGGCTGGCAGGCGAGCGGTGACGGGGCGGCTCCTTAACGAGGGAAGACGGATGGCACCGGGCGGCTCCGGCTGCCACGGGCGGGGGGGACCGTGGCAAGAACCCGGCACCAAACCCGGCTTTTCCTGGTTCCCCTGCTTCTTCCCCCTCTCCTCTTCCCTGGGAGAGGCAGAGTCCCCTGGAGATTGCGGTGCTGTGACCGACGGAGATTCCCCGGGGATGGGGACACTCGTGGTGGCGGGGCAGACACAGGGTGACAGTCCCGGTGGTGGCACGAGGCTGGGTGGGGTGAGAGCAAACCCTGTGGGATCCCCAGCCGGGCCATCAGTAGGTTCCAGAGTTAACAGCATCTGACCACCCCAGCGCTGCCCGAGGGCTCGGGGAGGTGCGGCTGCATCCCCGAGGAGCAGCAGACCCCGGTACCCCCGTCCTTGGGGGGGGGGCAAAGGACAGGACTCCGTGGGCACAGCCCTCCCGTTCCCGCTGCTCCCGGAACCCGGTGCCTGCCTGCCCGCCCGGCGCGAGCCAATTAAGAGCCGATTCTGGTCGGTCGTAATTAGCGGCACCTTCTCCCGGCGCAGCGCTTCTGCATTTCGCTGGGGATTTCACCAGCCGCCTTGTCACTGTCACCCAGCGCCGCGATCTCCCCGCGAGGCGCCGGCGGAGATTTGATTACCCAAAGAATTCTGCAGCGGCAGCGGGTCCAGCCGCGGAGCCGCTTCCCCAGGCGGTGACGGCTCCTCCGGCTCTGCCGGCACATCCCGGCACCTCCCGGCTCCCAGGAAAGCTCTGTGGGGGGAGCATCCCGCCCCGCAGCGGGTTGGGGTCCGTGGGAGGGAGGAAAGCGGGGGGAGATTTCAGCTCGGCCCTTCCACACGCTCGTGGTCCTTGTGCAGCTGCTGGGAAGCGCTGGGGGATGTGCGGGATTCAGGGGGTTGGTTTGGGGCTGGGCCGGGAGATGGGTCCTGTGTCTCAGGCACGGCCCTGTGTCCTAATCCAGAGATGGGGGCCGTGTCTGAGCCATGGTCCTGCATCCAAATCCCAAGCCAGAGTCCTGTGTCTGAGCTGGGGTCCTTCATCCAAACCTGGATCTGGGTTCCACGTTGGAGCTGTGGTCCCACATCTGAGCTGGGAGCTGGGGTCCTGTGTCCTAAATGTGGTCCCACATCTGACTCTGGATCTGGGGCCTGTCCCTGAGCTGAGGTCCTGTCTGTGGGCCCTGGTCCCATGTGTGATCCATGGTCCTGCATCCCAACCCGGATCCGGGATCCCATGTCGGAGCTGTGGTCCCACATCAGAACGCAGAGCTGTGGTCCTGCATCCCAATCCAAGTGCCACAGCACCACGTCCGTGCCACGGTCCCACACCCAGAGCCGCGGCCCCTTATCTGTGCCCGCCGGCTCATAGAGAGGCTCTGGGGGATGCCCGGAGCAGCCTCGTCCATGCGGGAACTGTTCACCCACGGGTCGGGACCCAGGGCTGAGAGTGAGGTGGGACTGGGGATGTCCCGCGGGCCGGGGCGTGTCCTGAGCCGGTCCCGCGGTGTCCCCTGGGCAGGTCCGGGCCAGCGCCATCGCGCAGGACGCCGACCAGAACTACGACTACGCGAGTAACAGCGTCATCCTGCACCTGGACGCGGGGGACGAGGTGTTCATCAAGCTGGACGGGGGCAAAGCCCACGGCGGCAACAACAACAAGTACAGCACCTTCTCTGGCTTCATCATCTACTCGGACTGAGCCTGGACCCACGGCATCGCCCCCGGCAACCCCCCTGACCCCCCAGCCCCACAGCATCGCCCCCGGAGCCCCCCTGGCCCCCCCAGCCCCACAGCATCACCCCTGGAGCCCCCCTGACCCCCCAGCCCCACGGCATCCCCGTGCCGCGGTTCAGCCCCACGGCACCCCCGACTCCTCATCCCCACGGCGTCCCTGTGCCGTGGTTCAGTTCCCTGCTGCTCCACAGTCCCCACGGCCTCCCCTCGCTCCCGCCCAGCCCCCCAGCATCCCCCTGCCATGGTCCAGCCCGGGGGTCCCCCCTGCCCGGTGCTCTCGGCTTCCCACGATGCCCCAAAGCCCCGTTTTCCCGTTACCTTACCCCACGGCTGCCAACTGAGGGCTTGGGGCTGCAGAGGGTTTTGGGGGGAGGAAAAAAGGCTGGGGGACCCCCTGCGCTGCCCCACTGCAACCCCTCCGCCCGGCTGAGCCCCCCCTCGTCCCCCGGTGCCCCGTCCCTGCTGTTCCCCCCTCCCCGGGGCGGTGCCGGGGGTCTGGCGGGGGGTCCCGATGCACAGACGTGCAGTGCCCGCACGGCCTCGGGCTGGGGGGCTGCGCTGGGGGGCGGGGGGAGCCGCCGGCCTGCCCCCTCCGGGGTGTCAACATGGTAAAGCAGAGCTGTGACCTCTCCCCGTCTGCTGTCTGTGTCCCCAGTGTCCCCCCCCATGGGAAAGGGGTCCTTCTGCCACCACCACCCTACCCAGGCCCTGCTTGGCTCATCCAAGCCCAGCCAGGAGGGGTTTCCTGGCTCCAAGTGCTCGTGGGCCCTCTGCCACCTCTGCTGGGGACACTGGGGGTGCCACCACCGCCACGTCCCTGTCCCCAGAGGCTGGGTGGCCTCATGGAGGGGACACAGCATTGCCACTGTGGGGGTGGGGGGGGACACGGTCTGGCCACACAGAGGCACCGGGACCCTCGGGCACACGCGCCGGTCCCGCTGCCTCGGCGTGGGCAGGATGTGACCCAATTAGAGGTGACAGCGGGTGCCCGGGGCCAGCGGCCGCATCCGGGGTGGCCGGGGTGCGGTCAGAGGATGGGAGCCCTGAGGACACGGGGGCGGGTGTCCCCCAGGGGGGTGTGTGTGTGTGTGTGTCCCCAGGTGTGTGTGCGTGTCCCCCAGGTGTGTGCGTGTGTGTGTGTGTCCCAGGTGTGTGTGTGCGCCCCAAACCCTGACAGGTCTGGGCGCTGTTCCCCAGCACCAATCCCACCTGCAGGCGTGGAGGCAGCGGTGGGGCCGGGCTGTGGCCGCAGCCCCGAGCAGAAGGGCCACAGCCCCAGCGCGGGGGTCCCGGGACCCTCCAGGCCCCCCCAGATTCCCCCGGGACCCCCCGGCCCCCCGTGGCCCTGACCCACCGCAGTGCCGGGAGCGGCCAGCAGGGGGCGCAGAGGGCTCTGAACTACAGCTCCCGTGGTGCCTCGCGCGGGCCGCGGCACTGCAGCTCCCATGAGGCACCGCGCGGGTCGCGCGGGACGCGGCCAATGGGGAGTCGGGAGGCGGAGCGGGACCAATCAGAGCGCCGGGCGGGGCCTCGCGGCTGATTTAAAAGCGGCGGCGGGAAGGTGGGGAGGGTCTCAGTGTCTGAGGGAACGGGGGCCGGGGAGGGGCACGGTGAGGGAGAGTGACCGTCTGTGAGTGCCTGAAGTGTGTGCGTGAGGGGTGAGGAGGGCACAGAGAGGGTGCAGGGCCCTGTGAGAGGGGCTTTGATGGCATAAAGGGCGTGCAGAGCCCTCCGAGAGCGGCTTTGGGGGCCCACGGAGGGAGTACAGGGCCATAGGGGAGGCTTCCATCCCCTCCCAGCCTGTGCACCCCATAGTCTGGGGCCTCCCTGATGTGTCCCGGTGTCCGTCACCTGCCCAGACATCCAGGAATTGGCTGGACAGTTGAGCCAGGGAGTTGTGGGCGGTGGCTCCGTGTCCTGGGGACGCTTGTGACAAGGGAGATCCCTCAGGGTCTGCCTTGGGACCAGGGCTCTTCAGCCTCTTCATCACCGGCACAGGCAGTCGGGGGGAGCCCACTCTCAGCACGCTGGCAGGTGACACGACTGAAGGATGGGGACATCCAGGCTGACCTGGAAAAGCTTGGGAAGCGGGACAACAAGAACTTGACCAAGTTCACCAAGGCCAAGTGGAGGGGGCTGCACCTGGGCTGGGGCAATCCCAGGCATCAGCACAGACTGGGAGGAAGGCTGAGAGCAGCCCTGCAGAGAATGACTTTGGGGGCTTTGCTGGAGGAAACGCTGGACAGGAGCCAGCAGTGAGCGCTGGCAGCACTGAAGGCAGAGTGCATCCCTGGTGTGCATCAGAGGAGGGGTGGCCAGGGGGGTGAGGGAGGGGATGGTCCTCCTCTACTCTGGGGGTTGGGGTGAGGTCATCTTTAGGGTCCCGTCCAACCCAAGCCATTCCGTGCCCCCGTGATTCCATAAGATGGCGGCAGTTCCATTGTTCCTGTCACAGCTCCACCGTGTCCAGGGACACGGGTGACAGGGCTCCAGAGCTGCTGAGGGCAGGAATGTTCCAGAGCGGGTGTCACAGAGGCCAGGCTGTCCCAGGGCACGGGGGTGGCTCCCAGCACATCCCTGGCTGTGCTGGGTGAGTTCTGCCGGGGCAGAGCCGCCCCAGAGCGATGGGGCCGAGCCTGCTGGGAGCCACCGTCCTCCTCTGCCTGGTGGGTGCCCTGCAGGCCTTTGCCATCGAGAAGAAAGGGGACGTGTTCAAGAAGACGGCGTGCCCCGCCTTCCTGACCTTCGAGAACGTCGCCTACTTGGCGGACATGACCTTCGAGCTGCCCTGCAAGTGCAAGCCCGAGGAGGTCTCCTCCGTCGTCTGGTACTTCCAGAAGAACCTGCGCGGCCACGAGACCGCGGTGCTGACGGACTTCAACGGCACCGTGGTGCTGGACTCGAGCCACGTGCGCGCGGGCAGCGACCTCCTGAAGCGCTTCAGCATCCGCATGTTCAGCCTCATCGTGTTCCGGGCGCAGGGCAGGGACTCGGGGCACTACCTGTGCGGCTCCAAGGAAGGGCACTTCTTCTACGGCTACGACGTGGACGTGCAGCCCACGGAGCGCATCGCTGTGGCCTTCCTGGACGGCGGCCAGCACGTGCGGGACGACTACGCGGCCGAGCAGTTCAGCCTCTTCACCACCTTCTGGGACTGGAGCGGCTGCGACCGCTGCGGGGTGCGGGGGGAGCAGCGGCGCGTGGGGCTGTGCTACGTGCAGAGCGCCCAGCTCAGCCCCCGCTACCGCACCTCGCTGCCCAACGTCACGTCCTGCGGCTCCCGGGCCGTGCCCGCGGGCTTTCCGCCCCTCCTGCACCTCCGCAGCCCCGAGGTGGCCGTGAGGAGCTGCCTGGCGCCCTGCCCGCCCAGGGAGGAGCCCGAGGAGGGCGTCCAGTCCATCTCCAACATCGTCTACAAGTTCGGGGAGAAGCCCGACGTGCCCCGCGTGCCCATCCAGTACCACAGCCAGCCCTCCCGCACGGACCTGGTGATCGCGTGCCCGGGGGCCCGCCCGGAGCACACCGTGGGCTGGGACAAGGACTCGCTCCGGCTCTACCGCTCCCAGTACCTCGTGGGGGTCGGGAAGGGCATGAGGGTCTTCATCGACCACGGGAACCACCTGCACATCCTGCGGGTGCGCAGGAGAGACAGGGGCACCTACTTCTGCTGGAGGGACGGCCAGATGGTGGCGGGGTTCCGCCTCAGCGTCACCTTCCCGGTCCAGCGGCGGCGCGGCCCCGCCGACCCCGAGTCCATCTTCGTCATGAGGGCCGTGGGCATCGGCTTCGGGGTCATCGCCGGCATCTTCTTCCTCGCCCACCTGGGCCGCTGCTGCTGGTGGGCGCTCAGGAAACCGGCCAAGCTGTAGCGTCTCCCCTCCAGGGCGCTCTTGGAAGTCTCTGGTGTTGTGACTGTTCCTTCTTGGCTTTCGACTTTTCAAAAGGAAAAATGTTTTTCAGATCAAGCCGGTGATTAAACGCCTCTGGTTCTGGGGCTGTTTTGAACTCGCCCGTCTCAGCTCAGAGCTGGGAGTCGATGTTTGAGGCAGAGGGCACAGGGGCAGCACGGAGCTCTCTCCCAGGCTGGGGCAGTGCAGCTCCTCAGCCTCCTCCAGGCTCCAGGGCCCTCCAGAGAGCCCGGGGTGGCTGCAGGGGACACAGTCTGCACTCACGAGGATGAGCCCAAGACTCGGTGATGACACGAGGAGCAAAGCCAGGGAAGGGATGTGGCAGGAAGGGATGGAGCTACAGGAAACAATCAGCACCTCCCACGCTTGGTGAAGGGGTGGGGTGGGGCTGTTTGGGTCCCTGAAGGGCAACGCACCCGCCCAGAGCCCGGGCGTGACCCCAGAAGGGCCCACACATGGAGGCAGCCCCAGCCCTGACTCTCCCTCTGGACTTTGCCCCCAAACTCAGCCCCCAGTTGTGACCTTGCAGAACCCCCAGGCAGGCACCAGCTGAGCCCTGGGTGTCGAGCCCAGGGCTGGTGCAGGCCAGGGGGGACACAGCCACCAACCTGGCAGCACTGCTCCCTGCCTTCCCCTCTGAATCCCTAAAAATCTCCCAAGGGAACCAAACGTGCCTCCCCCATCGCCCTATAACACCCCCAGCCCCCAGGAGCCACCCCTGCATGGACTGGAGCTGTCTCACAGGTGCTGGAAGCTGGGCACCGCTCCTGTGTCCACAACAGAATGTGGTTGGTTTTTTGGGAGGCAGAGCCAGCAGCGGGCAGGGCAGGATTCCAGCACAGCTCAGGGATTTGTGGCAGGCAGGAATCAGCACTCCCCCCAAGTGAGCAGCTGGGAGCTGCTGGAAAAGCATCCAGACACCTGGACTGCTCCCTGCAAGCAGCACCAGGTTCAGGCTGCAGTGACAGCCAGAGCCTCTGTGTGCTGGGACTGAAATCCATTGGCAGGTCTGCACCAGGAACAGGGGAGCACATGGACAGAGCCCCTGGGGAGCACAGTTCCAGCTCAGGGCCGAGGGGCACAGCCCTGGCACTGGGGCCAAGGCATCCAGCAGATCCACGTGGCAGCCTGGGGTCACATCTGCTGCCAGCCTAGAGCTGTGCAGGGCCACCCTGGGATGTCACACCCCCCCCTGTCCCCAGGACACGCAGCCACTCTCAGCACCGGTGCAGGCACAGCACAGTTTCAGGCTGTGTGGTTTTGGGGTGCTGTTGTGTCCCCCCAACCCCCACAGCTCTTTGGGGGCTTCCAAAATAAATCCCAGGCTCCACTGAGCCCCCCCAGCCCAGGAGCAGACGGGGCAGGAGCTCCTGCAAGGATCTGAGGTGGGTGCCAGGGCTTACCAGAGCGGCTGTAGCCAGAGGGGAGGGTGCCCCGTGGTGGGAGCTGGGGTGGGGGCACAGAGCTGCTGGAGGACATGGCTTCAGACCCAATTTTCTGTGTCCTCACACTCTCTGGGGGGGTTTGGTTCAGCTGGGGGGTGCAGCAGGGCAGAGGGAGCCCCAGGCTCAGCCAGGCCTGCTCCCATTCCCTCACTGTGCCAACTCTGGCCAGTGGCCCCTCAGAACCCCATGAACCCCCTCTGGGCCCCCACAGCCTCCCCTAGGACAGCACTGTCCCCTTTGTGCCCTCTTAGCCCCTCTCACGACCTGACAGCCCCTAAAGCCACAGCCTCCCCTATTGCCCTGCACCCCCTTTTGGTTCCTAAAGCCCCTCCCACAGCCCTGCTCCCCTCTTTGTGCTCCCACAGTAGCTCCCGTGGGAGGAGCTGGGGTTCGGGAGCAGCTCCCAGCTAAGTTGGGCTGGAAAAGGTGACCACGGGTGGCAGGAGCAGCAGTGGGATGTGGGACAGCTCCGGGTGTGCCGCTGTCCCTCGGGATCCGGGGTCACCAGCTCCCCCTGCCCCTTCCCTGCCTGGCAGCGGCTCATCTCACCTCTGTCCTCTTCAGCCTGGAAGCTTCTCATTAACACTCGCAGCTTGTTTGTCTCATTAAGGGGGGGCCGGGGAGGAGGAGGAGGAGGAGGGGGGGGGGACAGCCCAGCTCTGCCTCCCGCGGCCGCCGGCACTGGCAGCTTCCCGTGCTTTGATCCCGCTGCGTGGGAGCCGGGAGAGGATCAATCCCTGGGGAGCAGCGGGGGCTCACACAGGACCCCAAAGCCCCCGCTCTGTCCCTCCCCACACACACACCCCGCGAGGGGTGGAGGTCCCCTGTCAGTGGGGCTGTCACACGGCGCGTGTCCCCAGGGACGCCACCGTTCTGGCTGGGGACACCAAGCGCCACCGTGGGGTGTGTGGGTGTCCCCAAACTGGCGTTCCTGTGGGCAAAGCCCTACCTGTCGCTGGTGACACCGGCCCAGGACAGCTGGGGGGACACGGGGCTGGCTGGGGACAAGGAGCTTCTGGGCATTACAGGGCGATGTGGCAGCTGCTCCAGTCCCACCAGTCTTGTCTCCAGTGGCTCTGGGGCCTCCCAAATTGCTCCCACAGCCCTCCCCACTGGCCACTGTCGGTGGCCCGGCGAAGGTGGCTCCGGGCCGGCCACTTGTCCCCGTCCCACAGAGGGCAGGAGCTTTTCCCGGCCATCGGCTGCCACCTGCTGCCAGCAGCGAGGCTGTCCCCATCCCTGTCCCTCTCCCCATCCTTACGGCAGCATCCCAGGGACCTCCCTGCCCCGCAGCTTCATCCCAGCTGCCTCTCTGGGCACCCACCCCGGTGCCCCAAAACACCCCCATCCCCTGCACGGGCTGTCCCCAAGGCCCATCCATGTCCCAGTTTGCGGTCAGGACGCCGTGGCTGGGAGGGGACAGGGCTGGCGGTGGCCCCGTGCCCGTCCTGGATCCATCCCGCCGTGTTTCCCGGCAGTGCCGTGCCTGGCACAAAGGCCCCCTCCAGGCCGGGCCGGGCAGACGCCGCTCCAGCCCCGCACAAAGCCCCTTTCAGCCGCCGGGGAAAGCCCCTGGCACCCGGCCCTGGCTCTCACCACCCCCTGCCATGGGCCAACGGGGGCAAAAGGGGCAAAAGATCCCCCAAACTCAGCGTGTGTGTGGATGGTGACGTGGTCGTGCACACACAGCTCTGGTGGGATGAGTCCCCTCTGGATCTGGGATGGGGATGGACGTCCTGAGTCCTGCTCAGGCTCCAGGGCCATGAGGCAGTGCTCCCACAGACCCAGCGTGTGCCCATGTGTGTGCCCATGTGTGTGCCCCTGTGTGTGCCCATGTGTGTGCACTGCCCGTGGGCTGCGTGTCTGTGGACAGGGACAGACACGTGTGCGTGTCTCTGCAGGTGTCTGTGCGTGTGGACGTGTAGGTGACCCCCCACGTGTGGGTGACCCCCCACGTGCATGCCCAGGTCTCACATGTACACGTGTGCAGATCTCCCCCACAGCACCCACGGCGCCCCAACGGCACCGCACCCAGCCTGGCGCCCACGCCCACTCGCTGGCTGCCCTGTGGGTGAATTTGCCCCCCCCTGAGCCCCAGGGGGAGTGCAGGGGGTGGGCAGGGGGCTGTGCCACGCTGCCCAGGCCGGGTGCCAAGGCACAGACACCCCTGCCCGGCGCCACGGCCTGGCTTTGTGCCGGCCCAGCGGCTCCCTGGCTGGCGGCCAGCGCCAGGGTGCCCAGCGGGACGGGGACTCGGGCTCCATAAAAACCCTTGGGAGGGCACGTCACACCCAGCCCTGGGCACGCAGAGCCCGTCTTCCTGCAGTCACCACTTCAGCCCTGCTGCCCCCATGCACAGGGTGCCCCCCGCCAGCCCCCCAGCCCGGCCCTGGGCACCCCGCAGCACCCACCTGGGTGCCAGGCTGGGCTCGGGCACGATGGACTTCTCGCTGGCCACGGCGCTCAACCTGGAGTTCAGGGAGACGCGCACCAGCGAGAGGGTGCAGATGATGGAGCTCAACGACCGCTTCGCCGGCTACATCGAGAAGGTGAGGCTGCTGGAGCAGCAGAACAAGGCCCTGGCGCTGCAGCTGAACCGGGAGCGGGACCGGGAGCCCTCCCGCCTGGGGGACGTGTACCGGGAGCAGCTGCGGCACCTGCGGAGCCACCTGGAGCAGTTGGGCACCGCCAAGGCCCGGCTGGAGATCGAGAGGGACAACCTGGCCCAGGACCTCGGCAGCCTCCAGCAGAAGTAAGGCACTGTCCAGCTGGGGCTGGTTCTGGGGGACCAGGGTGGCCACCGGATCCAAAGCGGTAGCAGGGACCAGGATGGCCACTGGGAGGGTGATCAGGCTTGTCCCAGGGACCACGATGGTGATGGGGATGTGGCCAGGGAAGTGGTGATGTCATGGGGACCGTGGTGGTGGCAAGGACCAGGGTGACCCCTGGGACCAGGATGGAGACTGGAGGGTACCCAGGGATCAGGGTGGCCACGGAGACAGGAGCAGGGTAGCCCTGGGGACCAGGCACTGATGTGCACCAGGGTGGTGGGGAGGACCAGGGTGACCCCTGGGAACAGAGTGGGATGGTGGGGGGTGTAGGATGGGTACAGGTACTGACAGGGGGTTTGGGTGGGTGCTGGGGCCGTGGGGCTGTGTCGGTACAGGGGGGTCTGTCTGGGCAGAGAGTGACAGGTCCCAGTGCTGGAGGGGTCCCAGTGCCACACACGTAACGGTGCCCCTGCTCCGGCACAGGCTGCAGGACGAGGTGACCCTGCGGCTGGAGGCCGAGAGCAACCTGGCTGCCTACAGGCAGGTGAGGGCAGGGACCACATCCTGCACTGCAGGGGTTCGGCTCCCATCTTGTCCTCTCCTTGGGATGGGCAGGGATGGGGAGGGGATGGGCAGGAGCAGGCAGTGAGGGACTGGGATGTGTTACAATGGGCAGAGACAGGCAGGACTGGGCGGGAGAGGGCAGGAATGGACATGGCCAGGCAGCTCAGGAGGGAGTAGACCCAGGGGGCCCAGCCTGGGACTGTCCCTCGTG